AAAGAATAATTCCCCCAAATATTTGAATCTCCCAAATAAAAGAGCAAGATTGAGGAGGAGGACCAGACTGGAAAACAAAAGAGAGGAGGAACCTCCAGGGAGAGGTGGCAGATGGTCCACCAGGTGGACCGTGACAGTCCACAGAACTGGCCAAACTGACTGGTGGACCAGGCAATTTTTAGCAATGATTGCAGTGTGAGCCAGAGTGCACCAGCCATAGGGCACGTTGCCAGTCATCGCTCCTAGTGACATTCCAACCAGATAAGCAATACGTTCATTGCTGGGAGGGGGTTGAGGAACACCAGGGAGGAAGTTAAGGAGAACAGGCAGGCAGGCAAGATAGAAGAAGGATGGAATAGAACATGCTCACCACCCACATCTAGCAGGTTCCAACATGTCTGAACAGGTAACTAGTAAGGTGGCTTAACCTTTGGTCTTTGCACACCCGGGAACATTGCTCTGTAAGAAAAATTTGATTTACTCAAAGAAGTAATTAAATCTGGTGGCACAGAGCTAATCAGAACAGCATTCATCAGCACTCAGAGTTGGAAAATTCTTTCTCTCCCCTTTGTAAATGCCCAAACCCTGGGCACTTTATTATTCAAGTTTTTAATTAAAAAAGGAACATGAACAGTCCAATAACCTGGAGCCATCCATCATGCTCACAACCTAATAAAAGAATGCAGGCCTGCGAAGACACTCGCCCCTCTACAGGATACGTAAGGCAAGCTCTGCGGCGAGAAAGCAAGGAGTTGCTTGGGTTTCTACCTCTCTGCTGACTTAACTGTCATATTGCATAGTTACTGCTAAACTGCACGAAAGGTATTTCTAATCTCATGACGGTGACTGGAAGAGGTTGAAGGACACAAATTAAGTCTCAGAGCAGTACAGCTGAGTAAGAATGGAAGGTCAGTCAGTTGACTCTTCCCACAATTCCCCGAACAAGGCAATTATTCATGAAGGAAATTTCAAATTATTTTCATTAGACTTGTGTTTTACCAATCTAACCAAAGTGATTAATTAGGGATTAAAATATTTACTCTGCACATGCTGCCTTGGCTCAGCACTAGCATATTTAAGCATTGTGCTAAAAGGGTCAGCTGTTTCCAGTATTGTTTGGAATTCATTTCCTATTTTCTATGTAAAAGGGCACTGACATGCTTGTCTATACCATACTTTGGGTCTCTCCAGGCACCGAACCGGAGAAGAAGAAAGAGGCTTCACAGGTCCCACCCTTTACCCCCAAATTTCTTCCTCGTTAGAACCACTCTGTGGCGATGGCCATAGTTTTGCTGTATCCTTGTCTTTGTAACAAGGTGTCCAGAACACCTGGGAGCCAACGACAACACCCTAATCATTGTCACCCTCATCAATGACACATGATGGAGCAGTGACAATTGCATAGCGGGATACATCATGGCACACAGGTGTGAAGGAGACTACCAGAATGGGGGGCTATTCCAAGACTTTAGAGGGCTTTTCAGTGCCATAGGATAGCACAGAACCGGTGATGGTAACTGTCTCCTGTGTGTTGAGAGTGACAGCAGAGACAGTTACTCAAACAGGATGCCTGAGCCCCACTTGTACCAGGGGTACCCAGCGGGGCCGGAGCATTGACGAGCTTAAACTGCCACCTTGCCGAGACTCCAAATGGGACACCAGTGTTGGGAAATAGGTCTTGTTTATTCAGAAATTCCTAACGTTTTAAGACGTCGCTAAGATATTGCACGGAAAGGAGGTGGTGGGAGAGCTATTCACTCATATGGCTACTGGGCACCCTCCCTGAAGGGATGAGACGCATGGGGGGGTCCATGATTGCACCTCTGAAGGTTCGTAAAGAGTAGTTAAGAAGATGCAGATGATGTTGAGGCATTTCCCCTTTTGCTTCCTGCCAGCACTATTAATCCCATTCCTTCAAGTGTTCTCACCAAGCTTTTAGAGCAACAGAAAAAAGATTATATACGCAATTATATATATGTGATATGGGAATAAACCAATTAATCGTTCCAGCAGTGGAGATAGTGAATTCAAGGTGATACATACGGAGACATAAATAAAACCATGATCTTTGTAGGGTGCAGCTGAAGAAGAGAATAGTAGGTCCAAGACTTTGTCTGCAGGGAGAGGCAGGGCTGAACAGGGTGGGATGAGGGGAGTGGTGCCTTGAGAAGAGAAGGAAGCCATGTCTAAGGAAAATCAGCAGGGCCTTGGATTGGTCAGAAGGAGGTATTTATTGACAAGGAGAGCAGTAGTTTCAGTCGAGTATCGAGGCCATGAGCCAGGTTGGCTGGAGCCCAAGGAGACAGCTGGTGTGGAGACGTGGCTCTGACAGCAGGTACAGCAGTGTAGCCCTGGAGTTCATCTAGCAATCATAAGAATAACGAAAATTTGGAGAGAGCTTTCCATGTGCCAGGTCCTACGTAGGCAGTATCTTCCGTTCTTTAATCCTCCCAATGAATCTATGCTCATTTCATACGCAGCTGCTACGAGGCTGAACCAGGATTCAAACCCAGGTCTGTCAGGAAGCAATACTTATGCTCTTAATGAGCACAGAATGCAGTCTTAATAGAAGAGCGATGGGATGGCCACAAAAGGAGCCAAGAGGAGCACAGCTGGGCACGTTAGTGATGGTTATGATGCCCAAAGGGAGAAGACGTGGAAGACTGAGACTCATCTCTCACCCCAGAGTCAGAATGTGCTCTAGAAGACTCCAGGGAACACACGGGAGGTTGGAAATCAGCAGGTCTGGATTCCAGTTTTGACTCAGGTCCCTAAAAATCTCTTGAATTTAGGAAAGTTACTCAATCTTTGCACCTAAGATTCAAAGGCACCCGTTACAAAAAATAACACTGCTTATTTTATCTACTTTACGAGGCTATTGTGAGGATGAAATATAGTAAATGAGTTCATTAAAATGGTTTACAATTATTTGGCAAATGCTGTGGGCCAACACCGTGCTAATCGCCTCACACGCACTCTTTCATCTGGCTCTCAAGATAACCCTTTGTGTAGGTACTATTATTCCTATGAGATAAAAGAGAAAAAAAGAAATATTTCATAAAGTTCAAAGAACCACAAGCATGTAAGGTTTTATGATTATGATTTTGTAGGAAGTAGTATTATCCAGCTTAAAGAGGAGATGGTAAAAAAAAAAAAAATCTCTTCTGAACCTCCTAGAAAGAAAAAAAGGATAGAGGCTGAGGTAAGGCATGCATAGATATGTAATTAGGAATCACGTAATGTAACTGAAGGCTCGGCTACAGGGGACCTTTTATAGAGAAGCAATGTTGGTTACCTGAAATTCTGAATCTCTGCATTTGGGATCATCTTGGCTCTATTTCGGAGAAAGAATGTATCAGATAGAAAGCAAATTGATCTTGGCCAACAGCTCTGAAACATTATCTGCCCCTAGAAGTTGGACACGTTTCAGGGTATTTTCAGTCTCAAGGGAAGGTATACTTTCCTTTACCTTCTATCTAACTTTTATAGCCAGCCACTGCAACCTCCCCAAGATGAAAAAGATGCATAACAGGATTTGCATTCCTTCTCAGAATATGAGTGCTGCAAGCAAACAGTTCAGAACTTTCTTGTGAGCAATATTATTAGAAGTCTCACTCGTTTCCTCACAGGGCACAATGCCCCGAGGAGAAAGAAGTCACCTGCCACTTTCTAATGTTATTTAATCTTTTTAGTCAGAGCTGTAAACTGTCAATCAAGGGGAATGTTTAGTCACCTTGAATGCTGTTTAATCAGTAGAATGCTTTGTATATCTATAAATACCTGATGACACAGGAATTAAGTCTTCACAATAATTACCCCACTACATCATTTGACATCATTACTCACAGGCAAGGCCAAAACCATTTTTAATCTCTCCTGGTTTCTCACTAAAAATGTTTCATTCCTGCTACAGAAATGGAATTGCTCTTTCAGGTTGAGGAAAACGGGTAACTGAAATCTGCACACGGGGCTGTTGATAATGTCTGAATGGCCCTGTCTATCATTAAACGCTGCTGATGACAGGATAATTATGATCATGTGAGCTGATTGCTAAGCAAGTGCAGCGAGGAATGAAAGCAGCCCTCCTTCAGCATTTGATAAGTGATTCATGTTATGTGCACTGAGGTTCATGCTCATGCATTCCGTTTATTAAGGTCATTCAAAGATGACTTTTTTTTTTTTTTAATGTTAAGGAAGAAAGGGGCACCTGGCGAGCTCAGTCGGTAGAGCATGCAACTCTTGATCTCAGGGTTGTGAGTTCGAGCCCCACGTTGAGCAGACAGATCACTTATATATATATATTTTAAAGATTTTATTTATTTATTTGACAGAGAGAGAGAGAGCACAAGCTGGAGGAGAGGCAGAGGGAGAAGCAGGCTCCCCGCTGAGCAGGGAGCCCTATGCGGAGCTCAATCCCAGGACCCTGGGATCATGACCTGAGCTGAAGGCAGATGCTTAACCGACTAAGCCACCTGGGCGCCCCCAGACAGATCACTTAAAAAAATGTGAAGAAAAAAGATGGGAGGTTGTGCATCAATATGGTAACTACATACATCTTTGTGACTATAGCTGTTTCTCCCTTTCCAACTTTCTTTGTCACTCCTTTTCCCTTTATTCTTTTCTACATTTTCCAAATTATGTATACCAAATATTTTTACAAAGAGAAATCTAAATACATTTTAAAACGTGTTAAAATTATAGCCACTTGGTCATATTACATAAAATAAAAACACACTTGGCTAAGCATATTGTTATGTTAAATCTAACAGCGCTAGCTTGGAGTGCCTGCTTGCCGTGAGTTCTCGGAATGCTAGTCATAAGACCCCAATCTCCTACGAATGGCTCCGTCAGCATGATTATTGGGACAGATTCCATTTTGAGGGCTGTGAAAATGCTGGTTGCTAATGGTGCAGCGTATTTTCCGTTAGAGCGTAAAGTCATCCCTGCCTTTCTCTTTCCTGCTTTCTTTGTCCTTCCTTTCTTTCACTTACAGTCTGTTTTTTAAGAAGCACTTTAAAACTTGGATATTCTTGTCTGGTTTAAAAGGAGTGCAGAAAATTCATTCACTCACCCATTCATTCATTCCATCAGTATTTCTCAAACACTCTTATGTGTGCCAGGCCTATTCCAGGAGCTGAAATACAGCATGGAGGAAAACAAAAATCCCCGCCTGCATTGAGTTAAATCCTAGGGAGGGAAGCCCAAAGAAATAAGACAATTTAATTGACTGAATTGTAAGCATCATGGTGATAACTCTTATGGAGGAAGACTGAACCAGAAAGGAGGAAAGTGAGCTTGAGCAGACAGGGTGCAATTTAAATGGGTGGTCATGGAAACCTCATGAACTAAAAAGCTGTCTGAGTCAAGAAGGCAAATGGGTGGAAGCCCTGGGACCATCTGGGGGTAGAAACAGGAAGAAAAGAGGCTTTGAGGTGGGACTGCGCAAAGGGGCAGTGAGGAGGCCAGCATGGCGGGAATGTGGAGATGGAGAGCTGTAGGAACTGAAGTCCAAGAAGGATCGGGCACCTGATGAGAGGACTTGCAAGCCATTATAAGACTCTTGTGTTTGTGGAGAGTGGGATGCAAAACCCAAAGGTTTTGAGTAGAGGAATGACATGATGTGACTTTCATTCTAACGGAATCCTTTTGTTGACTAGGTTCATGACAGACTGGAAAGGGCAAGGGCAGAAGCAGGAAGAACAGCATTTCAGGCACAGCTAGTAGACCAGCATGATCTCTGTGGAGATGGTGAAAAGGGGAAAAACACTGGATATTTTTTAAAGATTTTATTTATTTATTTATTTATTTATTTATTTATTTATTTATTTTTTATTTAGAGAGCAGGTGGAGGGGCAGAGGGAGAGGGAGAGAGAATCCCAAGCAGACTCCCCATTTAGCACAGAGCCCATCCAGGCTCTGTCACAAGAAGGAACCAGTAAAGGAGACTGAGAAAGACTGGCTAATGAACTGTCAGAAAAGTTGGTAGAACATGATGTCCAGGAAGGCAAGTGAAGAAAACATTTCAATGAGGAGAGAATGATCAGCTATATCCAGGGCTACTGAAAGATCAAATAAGATGAGGGCTAAGAACTGACCCATGGATTATCATTATTAACACTGGTGACTTTGACAAGGGCAATGACTTGTTGGAATGAGTTCAAGAGAAAAGTAAAGGAAGGAAACTAGACAGAGTAGGCATGGATAGCTCTCCCCAGAATTTGTTGAATGTAGATCAACACAAAGACTTCTCAGCTACCTTCCTTGCCATGGTTGTGGCCGGGAAAGAATTCACCCCATGTGGTTCAAATGAAGAAACTTTAAGAAAGTGTTACTTGTGGAGGTGTGGGCTACTTTGAGAGAATGAGCAACAGATACTGAGGTACCCAGGAACTAACTACAGTGGGAAGCTGTTACTACCTCTAAACTGAAGGGACAAGGAGAAGAGATCAGGTTAGTGGACCACAATGAGAGACGAAAGATCAAAGAAGAGCCACCCAGTGGAAGCTGTGGTCATGGAGGGAACCAGATGTTGCCTGAAATAGAGCATGGAAGGAAGGAGGGATCCAGGAAGAACTACCCCCAAACCTTTACACTCACCCTCTGATCTCCAGATATTGGCCAAATCTAATCATAAGTCCACCAGCAAGGGAGCTCAGGAGATGTGGTCCACAAGGGTCATCCTCCCACGGCACAAAGCAAGGCCTAGAAGAGTGGAGAATGAATCAGCAGGTGCGGGGGGCGGGGGGGCGGGTGGGTAGGACAGAAAATAACAAGCCCAGAGGGGTTGCCTGAACTTGTACTACAGAAGTGGAAGGATGTTAGTTGCATCATAAAGGCCATGCCTTTTGCTTGATTGAGCACTCACGGGATAGTTACCGTATCTTTCCTGTTGACTAGCATATGGCATGAAGAAAATACGATGACTCCAAATAATACTAAACAGGCTTTATACAGGACACCATACTTGTGTAGATTAGCACACTATGTTTACTTAAAATGGGAAACAAATATTTGACTAAGTCTCCAAAACCTGATTCAGTGATAGCAACCAATCCATAGGAAGAACTATAGGAGTTCCACAATGTTCTAAGATAGTAAGTTGTGTGCACAGCTAAAATAGAGAGGGTTTACTTAATAACCAAGGCGATTTGCATTTAACTGAGAGGGAAGTAAATGTGTACTGGTAATCCACATGCAAAGTATGGTCTGTGATTATAAAGCCAAGTAACAGCGTTATACGGTTAAGTCACGTGTGAGCGTATGCGCATGGACCATTCACAGAAGGGAATTAAAGAGGGATTCCAAAGTATACTAAAATCAGCATAACCACTATGCCCTCCACTCCTGCCCCCAGCTCCTCCTCTTCTGATTTTGTATATAATACAAGCCCATCCAGGAATCATCTCTCTTTTGTCGAAGGGAGAACAGCTTTACACAATATTATGTTTTCAATAAGATCCCATGAAGAGCACACTTGAGGTTTCTTTTATAACTTTCCTAATCATCTTCCACCCAATACAATTAGCATTATCTAAATTAGTTATCAGTTTACCAAATTGTCTCCTCCTTTAAAAAAAAGTCATATTGCAAAATTATAGGTATAGCCATGGACGGAACCAGTATTCTATGCTTGCAGACATTTGGAGAGAGATAATGTTCTTAATCCTAATTAGAATTCTTTCCCTTTCCTATATGAACTTCTCAGAATCAGGGGTGACCTTATTTTCATTTGGATAGAGGCCTGGTAAATCAACTGATTTTCATTTGTCTTACAACACATCACCTCCTATTCAAATGTGTTTATTTAAGCTCTGGGCCTTTTACTATCTTTCTGCATTACTGCTTCTCCCAAAAATATCCATTTGGAATAGAATGCATTCATTTCCCTTATTCTACAATATGATCTTTAGTACATTTTAACCACTGTTTGAGCCCTAAGTCCTGCCTTTTGAGGCTAAGCTTCCAAGCTCAGTATTGTCATGTTTCTATCACTGTGTCTCACAAAGATCATGAAACTCCTGGTTGTCTGTCAAAGTCTGTTCTCCCTTCCTTCCCCAGCACTAGAGTTTAAACTAGGCAATTGGATGCCCAGCTAGACACTACATTTTCAGCCTCCCTTGCAACCGAATGTGGCTACATGACTAAGTTCAGGCAATGGGATGTGTACAACTTCTGGGACCTCCAACTTTAAAGATGAGGCACATGTCCCTGTGCACCTATCTTCCCTATTATCGTAAGCTGGGGCATGTATGTGACCATGTCCATGCTTTGATTAATCAAAGCCAGCTTTGATTATATGGACAAGGACAATGCTCTAAGGGATGGCAGATCAACAAGACAGGTTCCTGAAAGACCAGGTGGTGTATAACTTACCCACCACCTTGGAATATTCTACCTAGAACTATCTTCCTTAAGACATTGTGTTTAAGTTCTTTTGTTACAGCAACTTTACCTCCACCCTAATTAAAACTCTTGTCTAATCAGCTGAACTTCTTAAATATATCAGAAAGGATGAGGTTAGATCAAAGTGTAACTGCTTTCAAGCTGGAATATCACGTTTCCTTAATTGTTCTGTTTGAGTAAGCAAAACTTGGACTTATCCAGAATATTTTCCTTGACAAAGTCCAAATCACAACTCTTACTCTCAACTTTTCAACATCTGGTCTTTTTTCAAAGATTGTTCACTCAAACTAGAATTTGAATAAAATAATTATTTCCAAGTAACATTGTAGCTATTGGCTAAGTTAAAATAGGATCAATTATCCAGGAACGTTCATTTGTTGTTTTTCATGCACTTTTTTGTTGAGGACTTCTAAATTCAGGTTCAAATGGCATTAGAATCATCAACAACAGCAAATAATAATAAAAATAACAAAATAAAAAAATAAACTCAAACAATCAAACAAAAAAAACAGAGAAATTTGGATCTTGGTCTTTTTGATTTTCCAGTGGGTGGATATGGGTATCCATCTGTTTGGTTGCTGAAGTGAACAGTAGTATTTGTTGGTATAATTCTGAGTTGTCACTCAAAATAAGAAGACATCTTTCCCAAAGAAAGGTGATTCCTGAAAACACTGTGAGCTATAGAAATATATTTCTTTGTAATTCTTCAGGAAAGTGTTCTGCATCTTGCTAATACTAGAAAGAGCTTATGATGGCCCATTTGCTGCAATAATGAGGCATTTTTTAAAAGAAACAGAGCAAATCAGCATGACAGTTTTCTCGGGCCCTGAGGTTGTAGCAATAGATCTATTTTTTTCTTAAAAGCCTTATTTATTTATTTTAGAGAGAGAGAGAGAGAGAGCAGGGGGAGGGGCAGAGGGAGAGGGGGAGAATCTCAAGAAGACTCCCCACTGAGTGCAGAGCCTGATGCGTGGCTCAATTCCATGACCCTGAGATCATGACCTTAGCCAAAATCAAGAGTCGGGCACCTAACTGACTGTGCCACCCAGATGCCCCACAATAGATCCATTTTTATCTTTCTAAATATTCATGGGGTTTGGTACAAATATCCCTTAAATTGTCTCTTCCTCTCTGACTTTGGGGCCAGCACAGTGTATGGGTGCAACCCCACTCACAAATGTCCTAGAACTACTGGAATGCTCGAAGGGCTGATGTGTACTGCTGACCCTGTGTCCCCATTATGAGATCCAGCGGCAGGGTCTTGTGATCGGACTTTTTTTAAAAAATAGAATTTGCATGATTATGGCAACTAAACCTAGAAGCTAAACCCCAGTCATGTGGCTTCTGCCTTGAAGCTTCATATTTCTGTTTTCTCTGTGCTCCTAGGTTCGACTGAGAGAGGCTGGAGCTTCCGCAAGGATCCAGCCACCCACGCAGATTTAGCTGGGACACAGCCCCCTTGTATCTGGGGCACTGCTCCTTCCTAAGCAGCTTCTCTGGAATCGGACCCCCACCTCCTGCCATCTATCCCACTCTCACATGTTGGTGTTTCTAAGGATTTGAACTTTTAATCTTTTACTGATTTATACACTCACCCTGGGGGGTTGTATTCATGCTTATAACCTGCCCACACAACTGTCAGTTGACTATTTCCAGCTGTACCTCCCACAGAAATTTCAAAGTCAAAATAACCAAAACTTAGCTTCAAGAACTCTCTTCATAAGTGCTCCTCCTCTCTATTTCCTATTTAGTCAATAGTAGCATTATCTACCCAAATCAGAAACCTAGGGGGAAGCCTTCACTCCTCCTTCTCCATCAGCCCCTCCTTCTAAATCTCTTCCTTCACAAATTCTTGCTGATTCCACCTTTTAAGTGTCAACTCTGTCCCTTCCTCCTTATCACCACACATCAAGTCATTTGTCTGTTTCTGAATCAGACTCTGGATCCTGGTTCGTTAGCATCTCACCTTTAGTTCACTCTCATCGTGCCACCAGGGCAATCTTTCTAATATGAACATTTCTCACTCTGATGGTCCTTTGCTTAAGAAAACCTAGGAATTCCCCATAGAGTAAAGCCCAAAGCTCTCAGCAAGGCACACGAGCCCTCCTGGTGCTCATCTTCAATCATGGCCCTGGAAGCAGTTCTTGCTGCCAGCCTTCCTCCAGATAAAGTGAGCTGCAGGTCTTCGTGTCTCAAGCATGGATGACATTGCCCACGTAATGGGCATTGCCAGGAATGTTTCTCTCCACTCTGTTGGCCCATGACCTAGCTCATGCTCTCCTTCTCTTGACTACCCTGCCTGCGTCTCTCTAGACAAGGTTGGTCACACCCTGCCTCACACCATGTTGGTGCTGTGCACGTCTGTCTTTATAGTGGTTATCTCACTGTAGAGCAATTACTTCTTTACATCGTTTTCTGTTTTCCCAAACTAACTGCAAATTCCTTGAGGAGTGGAATTATTTTGCAATCATCTTGGTATCTCAGATCTACTTTAGAACTTGGCACATAGCAGGTTTGATGCATGTTCCCTGAATGAATGAACAAATGAACATGCTGCTGAAGATGTGATTACTCAAAGTGGCTCTATTAATCCAGATTCCCCAGAGAGAGAGAACCAATGGAATATATACATATAATTTTATGTGTATGTATGTGTGTAGTATAAAATATATAGTATAATATATATACACACATACACATATATATCCATGTATAACTCATAAATATCTGTACATATATATATAATAAGGTATATATAAAAGGAGATTTATTACAGGAATTGGTTCCCGTGATTATGGAGGCAAAGAAGGCCCAGAGTCTGGCATCTGCAAGCTTTCTGTGTCCTAAGAAGCTCCTGCCTACCCTGAGATCACAAAAATATTATCTTATACTTTCTTCAAAAATCTTTAGAGTTCTAGCTTTTACTTTTATGTGTGTGATCCATCTTGAATTGATTTTTATGTAGAACGTGATATGGGATCAAGTTTCCACCCCCATCCCCCAAATGGATATCCAGTTGTTCCAGCATTTGTTGAAAAGATTTCCTTTCCCTATTGGACTACTTAGGTACCTTTATCAAATGATTGTAAACATGGGGCTCTCTATTCTGTACTATTGCCTATTTATCTGTCCATATGCCAACACCATATTATCTTGATTACTGTAGCTTTAAAATAAGTCACAAAATCAGATAGCAAAGTCCTCCAAATTTGTACTTCCTTATCAAAATCCTATTAGATATTCTTGGTTCTTTGCATTTCCAAACAAATTTTAGAATCAAAATTTATTCATATACTCTTAAAAACTTAAGTTTAAAAGGTTTAATACAGCTATGCATTCAAGTAGAGTTCTTTGCATTCATGTCTCTGTGTATGTTGAGACACTAACATCTTGGGAATCACATACCTCAACATGGGAATCAATTTTTATTCCCATTTGTGCACGAACTACCTCCAAATCTTGTGGCATATTGCTTCTACCAGTGAGTCATTTGTCCTTAGCCAGCAGCTCTGCATTTTTAGGACTGGATTGATTAACCAGATCCTATCACATTGCAAACACAGCTAGCCACAACAAAAAATAGCTCATTACTTTGACTAAAACCAAGTGAATTCAAATATCAAATTTTTAACTGATACATAAAAAAGATTGTGGCTTGGAATGCCTGGGTGGCTCAGTTGTTTGGGGGTCCAGCCCTTGATTTCGGCTCAGGTCATGGTCTCAGGGTCCTGAGATAGAGCCCTGCCTCAGGCTCCATGCTCGACAGGAAATCTGTTTGAGATTCTCTCTCCCTCTCCCTCGGCCTCTCTCATCGCCGCCCCCTCCCCCAAATAAATAAATCTTTAAAAAAAAAAAAGATTGTGGCTTATTTGTTTGTCTCAAATAAGTCCTGCTGACCAAGTTCAAACAGAATTGGTAATTTCTAAAATGTTCAGAAATGCCAATTAAACCATTCTCTAAACTAAACTTGAAGACATTTCATTCACATTGCTAAACTAAGTTTTAAATAAAGATTTCTAAAAAGAACAACTTACCATGACTTAAATATTCTTTCTGCAGGGTATCATAGAGTGATACTTTCCAAAGCCAAGTTCCTTTATCCATCATATGGTAATTAATAACAACAGGGTAGTAGGGCTTCTCTTTTTAAATTCTAGTCAATTCCATCCTTTCCCAGAGATTCTTTCTGTCTTGAGAAAATGGTTTCAAAAAAAAAAAAAAATTAACCAGTGGAAGGGGAAAGGGAAAAAGAATTCTTTCTTATAAAATTAAATCTTCTTTAGCAGACACCAGCATGTACTTAACATATTCACGGAAGTATCCCCTCCAGTGATGTTGCAAAAGCCACGCAAATAATAATTGTCGCTAAGTGCACTACATTGACAGTCAATATTGTATTTTCCAGGCTTGTACTCATTATTCTTTATAGTATTCATGCATTTTGTGAAAGATCAAAAGATTTACACATCATATGGAGTGCTTTAGGGAATAACTTGCTGAGTACTTTAAATGCACAATGTTCCACAGCCTTTTAAATACGGATTTCACTTCTCTCTTCTTTGTGATAAAGAAATAACAAGATAGGGCTAGATGTTTTTTTCTTAATATAATAAAATGGCTATTTTTAAATATAAGATAAAAGTTTGATATTTTAATCTGTAATTCTAAATACAACTTTGTGATCCAAAACAATAAACTGTGGTTTTCCTTCTTTACAGGTGTTGAAAAAACAACCGTACAGACCAACTCTTGACGGCTTCGCAAACAGTCCATTACACAGACACGCCACAACTTTTTTGCAGTTACGAAATAATAGAACGGATTCATCTGCCTGAAGACATTGAGAGTATAGACTCCATGGCTCCAAAGCTTTATTCCACAAAGCTTTAATAGAAAATAAGGTGGGAAGAGCCACCACCAACCATTTTTCAGGGGGCATGGATATAAAAACAGAAGGGAGAAAGTTCTTAAGAGAAAGGGAATCTGAACTAGAATTTTTTTTTTTTTAAGATTTTATTTATTTATTTGAGAGAGAGAATGAGAGCGAGAGAGCACATGAGAGGGGGGAGGGTCAGAGGGAGAAGCAGACTCCCTGCTGAGCAGGGAGCCCGATGCGGGACTCGATCCAGGGACTCCAGGATCATGACCTGAGCCGAAGGCAGTCGCTTAACCAACTGAGCCGCCCAGGCGCCCTGAACTAGAATTTAAATAAAAACTTGAAACATTAAAAAAAAAAAGGAATCTGGCTTATTGGCTCCATATTTTCCTGATCTGAGATTTATCAAATGGAGTTTGAAAAGTTCACCTTTCCAAGTCTCTCCATAAGCTCATGGGCATTTCTCCCACTCATAAGGTTATTATCAACAATAACGTGAATGGGTAGTTATCGATGTGAACACCACCAGCTGAAAGACACTGTTGTGCAAACAGCTGCTTTTAAGAGAAAACAAAAATTTCCATCAATCACCTAGGCCAGTGTGAACCACACCAAGAAAGACAAGTGCCCCAATACCCTCAAAAATATTAGTGATTAGACATTTTAGGAACACCTCTTTCCAGGTTTTGTGTTCGTGTTTGATAAATCACACCAGTTTGTTGTACAAACACTACTTGTCCAGATCAATAATTTCAATGTCTAGTGTTTTGGGGGGGTTTTTTCGTTTGTTTGTTCGGTTTTCTTTTACAATGTCACTTTTCCCTGGTGCTCTCTCTAGCATGTATATTCAATAGGGGAGTAGGAAGGGGGCAGCTGAAACAGAACGGGGTAGGGAAGACCCTATAATATCTTAGGATAGGAGTCCTGACACCATACTACTTTAGGATACTGTGCAGATGACACGTTTTTATGCTTTCCAAACCAGCCACATACCTGAAAGCTTTTGCTGCATAGGAAAACCCACAAGGAGGATAATGTTGAAGGGGCCGATGCAAAGCACATGTGTCAGCCCGCGATTGGCAGAAGAATGTCAGTGGTTTTTAACCACTTTGCACGAGGGTGCAGACAAACACCCTTTATTTTCTCCATTTCCGTCACCATGTTTTCCCCCCAGCAGACTGAATTCTGGTAGAAGGGCATGAATAGGAGAGAAGGGCTCATCCTCATCAAGCTTTTCTTCCTGAGAAGCCCTTGTCTTCCTACTGTGGGTGGGGGAGGGAAAGGGTTGGGGCAAACTGGAGAGTGTATTGATTCGGAGCATTTCACTTTACTCCAGAACAAACTGAGTGAAAACTGTTCTTTAATGAAGCATAACAGTGTAGAGAATTCTGCTTAAATATTTGCTCAGATAATATTTTCTTACTCTGAAGCTATGAATCTGGCAACAGAGACAGATTAATAATAGCAATGAGCCCTGTGGCTGTTTGAAGAGAGACTCCGTGTATCCAGAGGTAGCAATCAAATAAGCTGTGATAGCTTCCACCACAGAACCATATACAGATTGCCAAGGGGCTGTCCTCCACAAGCCTGAGTGGTTAAAGCTGTGACACTGGGCTTCTCCGTCCTAGAGTGTCACTGTGGCCAATGCTACATGAAATGTGCCTTCTGATTCAGCGTTTGCTTTGGAAACCATAGTTCAGAACACTTGAAGCTTTTAAACGCGTATTTACATTTACCATCACGATAAGTAACATCTGCATAAGAATCCTGAACCACAGAAGCCCAAACAATAAAACGATTGTAGGGAGAAAGAAAAAAATATATATACAACTAAAAACTATAGGGTTTGGGGGGTTTTCTCTATCTCTCCCTTTTTTTTAATGAGAAGAAAGAAGAGAGGATGAAAGCAACAAAATAAAGTGAGATTTGGTTTTCCCTGTCGGATGGTCAGACCGTTTGCACCCAGGGTTGGTGACATGCAAAGTAATAGGCACTAGTAGAGCTGCCCGTGACCTTGGAAATTGATACATTTTGTATAAAGGGCAATCTGGCAATACATATCAATAATTTTTACAATGGGGGCACCTGGGTGGCTCAGTCGTTACGCGTCTGCCTTCAGCTCAGGTCATGCTCCCAGGGTCCTGGGATCGAGCCCCGCATTGGGCTCCCTGCTCGGCGGGAAGCCTGCTTCTCTCTCTCCCACTCCCCCTGCTTGTGTTCCCTCTCTCGCTGTGTCTCTCTCTGTCAAATAAATAAATAAAATCTTTAAAAAAAAAAATAGTAATCTTTACAATGGACTTAGAAATTCCTCTCCTACAAATTTACATTGAGGAAATAAGTAGAGAGGAAATGAAAAATTTTAATTTTGGCTTTGTTTGTAACAACGGAAAATTTAAAACAACCTGGATATTCAAAACAGGGAATGGGTTATAAAAATACGTGGAAGAGGGTGCCTGGGTGGCTCAGTTGTTAAGCATCTGCCTTCGGCTCAGGTCATGGTCCCAGGGTCCTGGGATCGAGCCCCGCACCGGGCTCCCTACTCCATAGAAAGCCTGCTTCTCCCTTTCCCACTCCCCCTGCTTGTGTTCCCTCTCTCGCTGTGTCTCTCTGTCAAATAAATAAAATAAAATAAATAAATTTAAAAAAATAAATAAAATAAATAAAATCTTTAAAAAATACGTGGAAGATATATACAATCTCTACTAAGAATTTAAAAACAGTGATACAGATTTGATATGAAAATATGTTCACAAGATATCATGTGAAAAGCATATTACAGAGCAATATTTTTGTTATGTTCTTGATTTTGTAAGTGCGTTATATGTCCCAATACAGAAAAAGAATGGAGATTATCTCAGATAAAGTAAATAAACTTGTTTTCTTTCTTACTGCTCTATTATCGAATGCATTTATTATGGGCACAAGTTCATTTATAATCTGAATTAAAGCTACAAAATGACTTCCATTTTGAACAAAGATAAAAGCAATACATTTTATTTTAAAATAAAAACTTGGGTGCCGAGCACTAAATTCTAGTTTTAGTACATAAATCCACACCTAAACGGTTCATATATATTTACACAAAAATCAAATCCAGAAACTTAGACCAAAGGTGGCAATATTAGTCAAGGTTTAGTTATACAGAGAACAGAATCTACTCTGGTTCACTGAGGCAGCAGTGAATTTATTACATCATACAGCGTCATTTATGGAATGGATGTGATCGCCAAAGAAACAGATTCTAGGCTGAGTTTCTAGAACAGCCCAAAGCAGCAGACCTGTTAATTCTTCTTAACTCAGTTCTATATTCGTGTCTTTGGCAAACATATCTGATTGGTGAAACCAAAGTACATCGGAGGACTTAGCTGGAAGGGGGTGTAGGAAATGTAGTTTTCAGCTTTCTAGCTTCTGCAGTTCAGAAAGCACACAAAAGGGGGACTGAATGTGGAGTGGGTCAATCCAAAGCTATTCTTTAGCAATTGAGCAAAAGAATGTCAGTCAATGTGCTGAGAGATTCCTATTACTATTTTGCCGAGTGATTGTTGTAATCCCTCTCTACGACGTTTCCATTCATATATCAAGATTGATGGAGGGAAAGAAGTATGGTGGACCGAACGTGTCTAAAGATCAAACTGGTCAGAATGACAAGTTGATAAATTCATTAATTAGCCTTCTCTTTATACTTCCCCTTCTTTAAATAAATCTTTATGTTTTAATGAAATATCTTTTTTCTAATTTGAACTTCTTAATATAATTATGTATGTTTCATAAAGTTTGCACACACTTTTCAAATATAAACACAATTTCATTTGTCAATAGCCTTTAATAAAGCAGAGATCTTAGTTAAATAATTATCCTTCTAAATTGACTAGTAATAAATGCTTAGTTCATAGATTTTTTGTTCTCTGAGTTCTTACTTGCAGGGGTATTTTCAGATAATGGTACACATAATCTCCATGTATTTTTCTGTCTTTCAACATATGGGTTTGGGTATCTGTTCTTAATCTTTCACTGGCAATGATAATGATTTATTATTGCCCTCTCCACTTTCTCTGCTAGAAAAATATTATTCAGCCTTCAAGAGTCAACCCAAATATCTCCTCCTCTGAGAAGGCTTTCCAAATTCCTTGTCAGAATTTTATTATTTTCACCCTCTTTCTCTACACTGTCACTACTAGAAGACTTAACACTGTGTGCTGTAATGAGTATAATACCTGTCTCCAAGCCGGCCTCTGCCCCTCCCTCTCTCTGAGAGACAGTTGAGAACAGGTTTTGATCATCAAACCCAGGAGACTGGGGTTGTATGTGTG